AGATCTCAGGTGTTGGTCATAGGTCTGTAGAGACTGGGCCTTTCAAGCCTCGTCGTGTTTCTTTTTTTGTCCATGTTTGTGCTTGGGGCTTGGGGCACAGGGCTCAAAGTTTCAGAGCCTGCAGCCTTCGCTTGGCTTCAGGGGCCTTCGTGGTCTTTTGCAGGATGCTGCACTCATTAGCTTCTTGTCCCACTTTTGCTGAGGCCGAGCTGAAAACGAGCTAGCCTACAGCCTTCACCAGGCCTGTCTGCTGGATTCCACCGGTGTAATCTTAGACCCGAAACGAAGGCAAGCTGTGGCAGAGACGGACTTTCCGGCGCTATCTGCACGAAGGAAGCTTCAAAGTATCCTCAATCATCCTCCGTCCCTGATCAGTACATCCGCTTCGGCCCGTCAAAGAAGAGCTCCTCCAGGCATCGCCCGTGTCACCGGCGACGGGGCTCGGGGCCCCAGAATGACCAAGTTGACCGCGAAAAAACTGCACCTGTACATTGCACTTCATGTATGCATCTCCACCATGCCAGAAACATGAAACCTGTGAGTGAAAACCACTCGAGAATACCCAAACAGATCGCAAAGTATTGCCAATGTGATGCCTCTCACTCTCGAGCGTAGCATAAGCCTTGTTCTTGCCGATGTCTGGACCCGGCTGAGTACTTTGTGGTTGTAATCTGCTTGTCATCCAATGCGTTCAAAGCCCGTGGTCCTCAGCTCAGCTGGCTTTGGCAGGCGAAGTCGCCAAGGCGCCGGGTCCCCTTTTTCAGCCGTCTTAAAGCTTGCAGCGTCTCGAAGTGTGGCGCTGGGCCTGGGAGGATCCCGGTCGCTGTTGCTTCTTTGGTCCCCTGAATCATGCGTAGAAGTCTCAGGGGAAAGCCTGGTTTCGAAGTCAGGCATGAGCTTCGAGGTGAGCCTAAGTTTCACGCAAGTATCAAGTGTGGCTGAAAGGTTTTTCCTGAGGCTGAAAGACTTGGTTGAGTTTCCATGGACGCCCACGGAATTCGTAAGACCACTGTGGCAGATGCGTGGGTGTTTGCGCCAGTCCGTACACAAGGGTGTGAAAACGGTAGCCATCTTCGGAGAATATCACTGGGTTCGAAGTATCCCTCATTTCCCAATCCAGGGTTTGTGATTTTCGGTCTTTTATGGTGTTTTGGTTCCCAGGTTCAGCTTAGGTGATTAGTTATTAGCCGTCAGGTATGTTGAGACAGGAATTGTGTGCAGGCATCTGGTACGTGGTTTTACTGGAACATGGGTCGTCGCTTTGGATTTTACCACAGTTCTTAGTTGAGCTATTCAGCCGGTTCAGAAGGTAACACGGGGTGGAGCGGTGATATGAGCGAGGAAGATGTGCATTGCTGCCAGGGCGACAGCGTCCAGTCTCATCGCCTGGGTCCAGGTACGTCGGCTCTGGGTTGCGTGTGGAAATTTAGCGTTCCAGCTCAGGGTCCGGGACTTAGGCTTCATGCTTTTGGCCGAGTTGGGGGCCCAGTCCCACAAAGAACCCGTGTTAGGATGTGGCATTGTTAAGGCGGAATAAAGCCTACGATCCCCGACATGAGCCGTGTTGCAGGTCGTGGAGCTCAGAGCCCGCACCGAATGCATTCGCGCTGCGTCTTGGGGCCCAGGAAGGGAATCGGGATTTGTAGTACTGATTTGTTGTTTGTGCTTTGGACCCAAGACACTGTCCTTAAAGGGTCGCCCCACAAGCTTCACAGAGGAGAAGATGTGCTGGGTTGTTTTGAATGCGTAGGAAGCTCCTGTCTTGATTTTTCCACTTGGGTTGCACAAGGCTTCACAAGGGCTTAGTTCTCCTGGGAGGTTTTGAGCCCTAAGCCAAAGGAATCCGTTGGCCGTCTCGCCAGGACCCCTTGCACCCAGGGAACACTTGCACTTTGCCACAAAAAATTCCAAAAGGCTCATTCCAAACCATGCAGAAAAACCCCAAGCTCAACAGCCAAAAAGCCTCAGCTTCTGCCTTCTCACACCCAGGAGTGTACAGAAGCAAGTGAGACAGGTCACTCCTTGAGGTAAATGGTAATTATGGAGCATACAAAGATTCTTTAAAACATGTCTATTGACAGTATTGTCAGTACTAATACAAGAGTTATTGCCCACCCTAAGCCCAACACCTTTGAGCCCAGACCGAAACTTGAACCATCGAGTGCTCGTGTGACCCCAAAAGGGTCGGGGGCACATTCTTGGGCCGCCCGTGCGCATTCTGCAGCACAGCACTTTCTGTTGTGTTTACCTGCTCCAAAACCATTCAGTGTTTCTGCTTAAGATCTAAATCTCTGGGATTTTGGGGTGACTGAAAACTTCGGAAGATTTAACAGGGGAATGTAAGCAAAAGACTTTCTAGTCTGACCTTAATTGCAGCCAATTACCAGTAAGTGCGTGACGGTGCACAGGTATTCCGTGACGCTACCCGAACTCCGCCATTCAACTACTCTTTCCGTGCGCGTCTACCTTGATTTTGGGTGCGGTTAAGAACTTAAGCTTGTGGGTAATCTAGAGCTGAACTCCACATTCGTGACGGATTTCTATTGCCCTGAAAATATCGGACGTATGTCGCGACGGCTCGTTTTTAAAAATAAGGATACACCTACCGCGGATGTTTGGTCGACACACCTTGAACCACTCTGAACCCTAAACCCTAAACCTAAACCCTGAGAGCACTAAAGTCCCCTGAAGCTTGCTGCAGCGCTCCAGGAAATGAGCTCTGGGACTTGCAGCGATCCAGGCGCATCTTTGAGACCTTCCTCCGCTCTCGGATCGAGTCATTTAATTTGAGCTCCTAAACCCTAAACCCCACAAAAATAAGACACCCTAAAGCAATTCCACTTTGAAGGCTTTTCGGGCTTATCACAGTTGATTTCCGGAGGCTTGCAGCCGCTAGGCCACACCCAGCAACGCCATTCCGACTTCGGGATGGCTTAGGATTTTGGTTTCCGGGTTTTCAGTGTTGAGACACATTGGTGAGCATCTTGCATCTGAGGCTCTAAAGACGTCTCCAGTCTAACGAAAAACTCTTCAAAGAGAGAGTCGCCTTTCAATACATGGAACCTCCTGAGGTCTGGGACGCTCTTTTGGACAGTTGCAAGCGGACCCTATTACAGAACCCTCTAGGATTACAGGACCCTTTTATGGAACCCTCTAGGATTACAGGACCCTTTTATAGAACCCTCTAGGATTACAGGGCCCTATTATAGAACCCTCTAGGATTACATCCGGTGAAATGTCACAAGACCACTTTTTCCGAAGGCGCCGCGATGAGCGCAGGCGCCAACTCGAGGTTCAGGCCGGTCCCATTCCTCTGCGTTCCTCTGGTCCCTTTTGGGGTACCCTAAATAGGTGCCGTAGTATAATAAGGACCCCCAAAAGGGACCATAATTTTGACAACCACCCATATTCCCAATGATAGGGTCCTGAATCTTCTGAGGTTTTGAAAAGTTCATCCGGATGTTCAGCGTTCTGCTTGGTTGTGAGCTTCGGGCGAAGTGCAAAACTGTGGCGAGAGAGATTGTGTAAAGCGGTAGCCGTCTGGGCAAGATCAAGTTGAAGGTCCCGGGCACGAACCCTTAAACCCTAAACCTACAGCTCGTAGTGGCTTGCTCCTTGCAGCTGGGTCAAACCTGACCCTTGAAATGCCATGGGGTTTCTTCAAACTCGGATCCCAATTGGGCGTCCTTGTGTTAGGATCCGCGTTTGCTGTCTGAGACTCTCTTCTTGCATCCCTTGGGAAGTGGCAAAACGTCTCCCAGAACCAGGGCCCCCTGCTCTGGCTGCTCTGCTCCCTGCGTAGATGCTGGAGTTGTCCTTCAAGGATTTTGCCATGATCAGCATCTCCTTATTTCTGCCGCTGCAGGAGCGATCCGAATGCCCTTTCCAGCCCAGACGCGCAGGACGGCGCTCTGCAAGGGCCTTCTGCGAGGGCTGCACCTGCACAAGCAGCACCGGAGTAGTACGCCTCGCAAAAGTCACAGGCGTAATTACATCTGGCCACGCAGACCCTACTGTACACCCCTAAATTCCTACCCCTGAAGCCCAAAGTCTTGGTTTGGTTTGGGACAAGTCGCGACTCACCGCCAGGCCGAAAGAGCCTGGACAGCTCGGCACTCAGCTGCAAGCTCTGGATTGGGGTGAAGAGTTCCGCTGGTTCTGGGCGAGGGCTTCTTCGTGTGGCTCGGAGCCCAAGAGCTTTGCAGGAATGCAGGAGCTATCGTTCTGCCTTGAACCTGTCGTCGGACAACTGCAGGACCCAAAGGCTTGAGCATTACAGCCAGGGCCTCTCCGTAAGAGTATGACAGAGTCGCATGGTAACCCTTGGAGTCGAAACCACACGGCTCACACCTTCGACCCCGAAGGAGGCCTACCAGAGCCCAAAGCCCTAGAGCCCCGCTTCTTACATCTTCGTTTGGGGCCCGTGCTCATGTGGCGCCTCGGAGCGTTCTTCGCGGCCACCACCGGCGCACCAGCGCCGGAGCTCCAGGTGGGCAAGGACCTGCGGAGCTTTCCGGAGCAAAGTCTCGCCAGTCTCGGACCGCGGAGTTGTTGAGGGGACCTTGGGGCCCGTGGTTTAGCGCCTTATTTTGGGGTACTTATAATAAGGATCCTACTATTTAGGGTACTATAGTCGGGGTGAAAGGTGGGAGAAGCTGAAGAAGTTTCAACGATCGACAGGTGGCCAATGGTCCAGAAGCCCGAATCCGCATGTTCAATCATTGTCGACTGATGGGTGGTGCTGCTGGAATTTCCGTTTCCACCCCCCTCGTCGCGAGTTGTGCATGTTGACTCTTACCCGGGAACCTGAGCCCGAAATCCAGCCTGAAACACTGAAACCCCAAGGACGCTAAGCTCGTTTTGTCAGTCATCTGAAAAGTCTTGACCGTTAATGCATCCTTCCCCTCAACTCGGAGCCCTTGTATCGTTCTAGACGGAAAGCTGAATGGAAAAGCGCCCTAAACCCTGCCTCACCCCGAAACACAAAGACTCCAGAAGAGGACGGCTGCTTCGGCCGCGCGGCTTCGCCTTTGCACTGCTGCAAGGCGCGGAGGCTGTCGCAGCGCCTGGGCCAAGGGAAACAGAAGATGGTTGGGATTGCATACAACGGTATTCAGGAGCTTGAACCGTAGATTTCTGGTGACCCCAGTTCCATCAAGCACCCTATCTGGAGCTTCGCCCAGAACTCCTCGAAAATCCAGGTGTCCTGGCGTGACTCCGGAGGGTCCCTGCTGCCAGCTGCGGGCATGGTCTGGAGCAGTGGCGCCGCGCCCAGGCCTGGAGAAGGCCAGCTTTGGGGACTTGAGCTTAGCCTTCGGAGAAAAGAGATCAGACGGTGGCAGTGGCAGCAGCAGCAGCCGAGCCGTGTAGTAGTTAGTAGTGTAGTAGTAGCAGCAGCGCCAGCAGCAGCACGGGAATCTTTTCGGTAAAGCTTGCAGTCCTCTGCTGAGTATCAGGTCATCGTGACGGATAAAGCAGAAGTGCACAGAGCGCTTGCACTGCATGGGAGATGCGGAGAATCTGTGAGGCCGAACTCTGCTCCGAGGCCATGAAGTCCCTTCCAAGGTCTTCCAAGGAACATCGGCTCCGAGCATCAGAAGCTCAAACAGTGTCGGAGTACTGAGCAGTGTCACGTTGTGCCTAGCAGGCCTCAGAACGTTTAACCTGTGTAGATGTCTCAAAAACTGGAATTGGGGCCACGGTAATTTGTCGGTTTTTTCTGTTCCGTCAAGTGGCAGAGTGAGCGCCTCCCAGGCCACGGGACATCTGCTTCGTTTGAAGCTGCGCCTCGCTGCTTTTCTGCGCTTTTTGCTGGGTTCTCTGAGTTAGGATCCCTTCCTTCCACGGTTTTTGTTGTAAGCGTGACGTTCGTTTGGGGGTACCCAGGAAAGAATCTAGGTCCACCATAAATCGTCGTGGGCGTTGTCCCCTTGTCTGCTTTCGCTCAACACTCCAAAACCGGCTCTCCGAAGCCCTTTTGAACCGGAAGCATGCACAGACAGGAATCTGGGATTCTTCCTAGACCCTTAAATACCCATGCCCCAAACCCTAAACTCCTCAACCCCGAAACCCTAAACCCTTAAAGCCCTGATGGACCCCTTCAGATCCCTCCTAGAGCCCCGGAGCCCGAAAAAAAACAAAACCCTGCGACCCTGGGCCGAGGTCGCCTGCGCGCACGCGCGCGTCGCCGGCTCGGAGCCCGGCGCCTGCGGCCCGCGCTGCCTGGCGCTCCTCTCCTCGGAGCCTCGGAGGGCTTGGGAGGAAGGGTGCAGGATATATATATATATATAT